TTGTAGGTGGGGGGAGTGAATGTACAGCGCTCTCTTCCACCTTCAATACCACGACTGAGGTGCCCTTGAGCAAGGCACCGAACCCCCAACTGCTCCCCGGGCGCCGCAGCATAAATGGGTGTGTGTTCACGGTGTGTGTGTGTGCACTTTGGATGGGTTAAATGCAGAGCACTAATTCCAAGTATGGGTCACCATACTTGGCCACGTGTCACTTCACTTCTTCATCACTTCTTAGAGGCGGTTGAGCCAATCACAACACACTGGGCTAGCAAACCAATCAGAGCCCATAGCCTATTTCTGAGGGAGGGGCTTCATAAAAGAAGGAAATGATCAGCCCCTTTCTCAGAGAAGGGACAGAGTGGTGTGGAATAAAGGTAAATTATGTGAAAAATAATGTTTTTTATAAAACGAAGCATTAACACATGTTAGACAGCACCCCATAAACACAATCAAGCCTAGAAAAAAAACCAGTGAACCACCCCTTTAAAACTAGACACTTCAAGCTTTCCATAGATATGCTTCTCGTGTCTGTGTGTGAAGTATTCGCTGAGTTTTGGTTCATTTTATTGATGCGTTTCAGAAAGAAGTTCGTGGAGACGGAGACGGCTGAAAGCGCACCCTGTTTATTTTCTTTATTTTACAAAAGCACAATCTTTTGTTGATATTGTGAGTGTACACAAATAAAAGTAGACCCTTCACAGATTCAAATGATGTATTACACTTATATGTATGATCAAAAATGGTGGAGCATTTTAAGTTCTTTTCGCTGTTATCAGGAAAAAATGCAAGTGATCGCACTGGTGCCTCCGTTTAAAAGGCATATAAATATTTATATTTATATTTAACACTACATTTGTAAAGCAAGTAACGTAATTATATTGACTTTAGTAACTGTAATCAAATTACACAAATTTAAAATGTAATGCATTACATTACTGCGTTACCAGAAAAAATCATTAGATTACAGTAACGCGTTATACCCAACTCTGCTTATGAGCATGCAAGACGGGATTGCACTTACTTTTGCATTTTGCCTTCAATTGTCTGTAGAGTTCAATTGCTCTTTCTTGCCTGTGATGAGACATGATTTCAATACAAAAGGTTCAAGATGGTAGAGGCATCTATGCTGAGAAAGTTCACACAGCATCACTGAAAGAATGAACTTACAGTTGCTCCATGACGTCTCCTTGTCGACGAGCATAAGGACTTCTCTGAAGCTCAACAATTTCTGAGTGCAAAGCCATTATTTCCTCATCCAGATGGCCGATCTCTGCCACCTTTAAAAGCAAACAGAGCCTGTAAGTTGTTGCTAAAACAATGCCATCCCACATGGCAATAAATTGACATGCACTACTGCTCAAAAAATTTTTTTGAAAGAAATTAAAACTTTTAATCAGCAAAGATGCTAGTGTCAATAAAGACATTTACAATGTTACAAAATAATTTTATTTCAAATAAATGTATTAAAGAATCCTGGAAAAAAAAGTTTCCATAAAATATTATATTATTAAACACCTTTTCACAATATTCATAATATGAAATGTTTTGCGCACCAAGATCAGCATATTAGAATGATTTCTGAAGAATCATGTGATCCTGAAGACTGGATTAATGACTGCTGAAAATTTAGATTTGCCATCACAGGAATAAATAACATTTTAAATTAGATCAAAAATAGAAAACATTTATTTTAAATTGTAATATTTCAAAATATTACTGCTGTTACTGTATTTCAATTAAATAAATACAGCTTTGATGAGCATAAGAGAGTTCTTTAAAAAAAACACAGAAAAAATTCTTTCTGACCCCAAACATTTGAACGATAGTGTACTACATTTCTATGATGTGACATGAAGAATACTAAAGGTGATGATACACGGGACATGTAGTTGCGCAATGTTGCCAAGCGATGTTGTTTGGGCACTTTCCCATTAAGAATGGGCAACAAATTTCTATCTGGATTGGTCGTGGGCCCTGTGTCTCACCTGGTTGCCCATTGATGGCAAGACTGCTCAGCAACATTGCTCAAAAAGTTGCCCCATGTCTCATCACATTTGGATGAGCAGTTAGGTTTCACAACAAATGCATATCATTTATCCACTTCACCTGTACAAACGCAGCAGCCTTCTCTTCATTTTCCTGCCAAGCCTTCAGCATCTTTTCAGAGGCTTCAGAAAGAAAAAGGTTGTTTTAGATTATTATTACTAATGCAATATTTGACTATTCAAGGAATTTAAGCACAATAAAACGTACATATGCCGTACTGCATCTGATCACTGTACTTCTCCAAGTCGTACTGTATGCTGCTCTTAAAAAAGTAAAGCTTTGCTTTGAGCTGCTGTGAAAAGGAGAACATCATGTTCTTATATCTTGTAAGGTTGGTGTTGTAGCGGAGAAGGCTCAACCTAAAGACACACAAACCGAAATAAACATTGAATTTTGAGCAGGGAAAGTCCCAAAACACAAGCTATATACATTAATTAGCATGGTAATATAAAGCACGTACATGGCTGCACGTTGGCCCTGGAAGAGGCGGCTGTAGTCTTCTCTGAGGCCACAAATGTAGCTCACCGCCTCACCCCAAACCTTTTTGAGGGTACTCAGAGGGAGCTGAGTTTTGGTTTCCCGCACTTAAACAGAAAAATGAAATGGGTGGAGAATTTAAAGTTCTTTGGGAAACAACTTGGAAAAAAAAACTGAATAAACATTAATCCAAAGTAGAAAGTACAACCTCCCTCAAGCATATTTAAATGAACAAACTATCCATAGAAATGGCACATTAATCATTCAATTCTTACCGATAAAGTTCACACTCTCAGGAAGTGTTCTAGCTGTTAGAGGTCCTGAGTACTTGGTCAAACTCTTGTCAAACAGATATACAATGTAGCTGTCCCATCCCCTCTGAAAATTAAAATAAAAAGGGTAATAAATTGCTGCTGATTTACCAAAATGTACTTTTAGAGAATGAGAACACATTCAAGAGGCCAAAAAATACTTACTACTCCATCTAACACACACTGTGCAGCAGGTTTCCTGGGATCTAACATGACTCCTGTTTCCTGCAGAAGCTCTTGATTCAAAAGTTCGATTTTGGTCTCGGTCTCAATCCTCTGTTGCAGAGAGTGAAGCCCTTCATCTGGGCTAAGCAGAAATGAGTGAACCTGGGTCGTAGTCATGTTTAAGATGTGCACAACCTACAAAATAAATCATGCTTCAGCTCATTTTTCTGCCTATCTTTGCCTATTTTGCATTATTACAGAAGAAAACTGATTGCCCAATGATGTAACATTCTAATGAAATGATGCAATAATGCCAATGTCAAACCTTCATGTTCAGTATTTGATCTAAAAGAGCAAAGCATTGGGGCTGTTTTGCGTCTGGATTCAATCCTCCTCCCCTCTGTACTGGATCCCACTTGAGCATCAGCTGTAGCAGCCCCTCCAAGGGCTCCAGTAGTGTCCTGCAGTACCAAAAGCAACTAGTCAACTCAAGAGACCCAGAAAAATAAAATAGTAACAAAAATTATGGCGCAAGAAATGCAAGGTCTTTTGGTCTGTATAAAGGCTACCTGCTCAGATTGTTCGGGTATGGAAGGTGGGTGGAAAAGCGGACCTCGCCATTCATGTCTTCTACAGCCATTATGTCCTTAGCACCTTTGTTTCGCACTTTGCTTGTCCTAATAATAAAAAAAAAGCAAATATGTTGTCATTTGACTGTTTGAATGTATTCCTTGTGAAGGTAAGATAAAAGCATTGTGACCTAATTAATATGTAGGTTATCAGGACACGTACCACTGCACAGGCTGGAGATTGTGAAGAAATGGCCGAAATCCACAGCAGCACTCAAAGATCATGGTGCCAAAGCTCCAATAGTCCACAGTGACTGTGTACGACTTGCCTTCAAACAGCTCTGGAGCCTGAAACAAACAAGATGTCACATGACCCTTCAGAAATCATTCTAATATGCTGATATGGTGCTTAAGAAACATTTCTTATTATTATCAATGTTGAAAACAATTGTTCTGCTTAGTATTTTTGTAGAAACCATAATAAATTTTTTCTGGATTCTTCAATGAATAGAAAGTTCAACAGAACAGCAGGTATATAAAATATACTTTTTTGTTGTAACATTATAAATGTTTTTACTGTCACTTTTGTTGAATTTAAAGGGATAGTTCACCCAGAAATAGAACAATTCTGTCATCATTTACTCAACCTCAAGTTGACAGTAGCCACGGACTTCCATAGTATGGAAAAAAACACTATGGAGGTCTATGACTACTGTCAACTAATGTTACCAACATTCATCAAAATAAACAAGTAGAGGGTGAGTAAATGATTACAGCAATTTAATGTGTGTGTGAACTATTAATTTAATGCATCATTACTAAAGAAAAGTATTCATTAATTTCAACAATAAAAACTTTGTACTGACCCCAAAATTTCAAATGGTAGTGTATGTTGACTTATTGTGATAATTGCCTTTTCATATCGCTGATGAATGCAGACATACCAGATATTGTAAAGTCCCCACAAATGAAGTACATAGGCTCCCCTGGTCTAGGTCTTTGGCATAGCCAAGGTCGATTATCTTGTGGACGAGCTGCATAAACATCAAAAAACGTTTGGTTGGAAAAAGTATGTCTACATAACAAGAATCAAACTACTGAAAAGAAAATACCTTTCCATTGATATCTTGTAGCACAATATTCTCTGGCTTGAGATCTCGGTGAATGATCTTATTCTCATGGAGGTACTGGATTCCAGAACCTGTTGAATATAAAACATGCTGTTTTATTTACCACCCTTAGCGATCGACAATAGAAGTACTAATAACAGTTTTAAAAAGGCACATTACCAACATCATTGAGTAGAGCCAACACCTCACTCTCTTTTAACCCACAACAATTTTCTGGTTTGCAGAGTAACTACAAGATGCAATACAAAGAACAGAAATTAGTTAGTAAAAATGTCAACAGAGGGCACATGAGACATGATGCAAAGAAAAGGCCCCTGTCACACTCACACACACACACACACACACACCTTTCGAAGGTCTCCCTTGGAACAGTATTCCATAGCTAAAAGCGGTAAATCATTCAAGGCAATGTGCATCATCTCCTCGGGTACATCCTTTGCGGTCACCACATTAAGGTGCTTCATCCTGACAAGTTGGAAAAAAGATGACCAAAAAAAACAAAAAACATGGTTAATTATGTATGTATACATAAAATAAATAAAATATTTACATGAAACATGTTTTAATAACAACATATTGTGAACAATATAAAAAAAAAAGTCAAACATTTGATTGCCATAGATTTACACACTTTTTCATAATCTGGATCTCTCGACTCCACCTGACTTTGTTTTTTGCATTAAGTTCAAGGCGACAGAGCTTCACAGCAATTTTTTCTGAGGTTTCCTGCAAGATATTACAGTATTAAGAAACTACCATTTTCTTTGTCTTTACATCTAAGCAAAGGAAACAAAATATTTTCACATCAACAGTAGTTAAGAGTAACATCAAAGGCAGAGCAATACCTCATTCTGATAAAGGTAGACATGTCCAAATCCTCCTGTCCCCAGCCTCTCCTTCATAAGCCATGACCCACAGAGCTGATTCTGTCTGAAAGGAGGTTTCTCCATCTGCACACAGCAGTAATACACCTCATCAGACATTTATAATGGCTGCTTTCAACACTATGACAGCTACTCGTGCTTGATTAAGATGTAGGCCTTAAATAGAGACTTCTATACTGTAGATAGCATAGATGATGGTTCATAAGCGAAACCTTTAATTTCTGACATACTATTTACTTAGATATGGTGACACAGCTAGCAGGCGAGCTAATCCAAAGTGTCAGCCGGTAGTGACTTACCTTGCGTCAGTTTGCGTTTCTAACTTGCATGAACCGACCACATCTGATGTGGAAAACTGTGGGACCTGTCAAACGAACGTATTAATCCATAGCAAACAACAAAGCTATTCATTTCATCCTTAAACGAGTCGGATGTCAGATTTGCTAACTGGCTAGCTAGCTACGCGTAAACAACTCGATGTGTTGAACTGTTAGCCTGCAGTCTTACAAGCCCCCAAATGTCAGCTTTCCATAACACCAGGCACGGTAAAACGAGGACCAGAGAGCACCTGAAAATCAAAACAACTAAATCCTGCTGCCCTAAAATGCTGATTGGATACAGTAGCGCTGACTGGCGCACTTGTGTGATAACTGTTGTTGACGGCGGCCACGCCAGTCAGCTGCTACTCCAGTCAAAAGCGAAACAATGTCAGCGCATGCGCGGTGCGTTAGGAGCCGCCTGGGTTTCATCAGCGCTGATCTAGGATCAGTTGGTCATGGCCCATGCCATATAACGAAAGCTAAAACAAGGTTCGTGGTGCTGATCTCAAGTCAGCGTAGTCAGCGAGGACCTTGAGAAAATGGTACCCGTTGGTTGTGAAAGTAACTCCTGTGACGCAAATTTGTTCGTTCTATACGAATCATTGGATAAACAATTCATAAAAAGTCAAATAAAATAAGAGAAAATGTAATTACGATAGATAGATAGATAGATAGATAGATAGATAGATAGATGCTGCTTCCACCATTTTTGTATGACTTGTTTATGAATGTTTTGAAAACGTGAAAAAAGCTTTCTAGGAATTTCTTAGGCTATATCTCTTTTTACAGTGAAGAGAGAAGTGAAATGTGTCTCCGCCTCATAGGGTTACAGTGACAATACTTTCTTAGGAAAGTTTGTCTGTGTCTTTTTTAAGACTATGATCTCTCTCGCTCTACTTTGTATCTTTGACAGTGAAGAGATAGGCTATTCTGACACTTTACTTTGTATTTATAGGCCTGATAACATTCCAGTTTATTTAGATTTTTACTCAAGTTTATCTAATGAACAAAATATGCATTTAGTAGCTTTTATGATTTCATTTATTCTGATTTGGTTTTGCTCATCAGTACTGCTCTAAATCGGATGTTTGTTAGATGTTAAGTGACAGACGAGACTGTGCTTGATTCAAACTGCAGCCTTGCCTCACTACACACTTTTGAGTATGAATAATTCTGTTATTTTATTTATGTTCTTTTATTAATTTTTATTCTTCACAAGAAGCTTTCTAGGAATTTCTTTCTTATATTAGTGTCTGCTACGTTTCTACCGGTTCTCAATTACAGGGATGGAGTTTATCAGCATGCCCCTCTTACTCTTACCTTCTTCTCTCCTCCTTGGATGCTTTGTAACATGGTGCTCTGAAATTTATAACCGATTGTAAATTTTCAACTCATCATTGTGAATTATATAAAAGAGTTGCATGGCCTTCTTTGAGTTTTTGGAGAAAAATGCATTGGCATCTGTTGATATATAAGGCAATTTTGGGTCATTTTGCCAACTTATCTCTGTTGTCTCATACAAAGAACTTTGTTTGAAAATTATTCATCATTACGTTCTTTTTTTTTTTTTTTTATGTCAAGGAAGTCAAAAGATGCAATACAAAATTCTGAGAGAATAAAGAAATGAGTTACAATCAAATCAGCTGACTTCCTGTGCCATTCAGTATACATTTTTGTAATGCTTACAGAACCTGAATGAAATACAATGAGGAAATAAAAGGGAAAAAGAAGAGTGAACAGAACCACCAAAAAGAGAAAGAAAAGCAAAAAAAACTAAACAAAAAAAACAACCCGCAGGGTAAAGTACAGTGTAATGGTGACCATGCATAGTTACATTAAATTTACAATACTGAGATATGATTATATCTATTTTAACATTGCTAATTCTCAGAGTCCAAAAATCATTTCCACATGCTCCATAAAATAGCCCCCTTTTGCTTTTTTAATTTTAAAGAAAAAGTAAGGGTTTCCATCTTACATATTTCAATTACAATTGCTTTCCATTCTTCTAGAGTGGGAGGATTAAGTTGAAGCCATTTACGAGTTCATTACGTTCTTAATCAAATTATAATCTTTGTGTGCCCCTAGTCAGAACTGAGCTTGGTAAAACCTCTTTTAAATATGCCGCCACTTCAGATTGGAATCTCCTCCAAAAGTAGATGAAGTTACAAAACTTGGTGTCTTATAATTAATTTAAGTCTTTATTATGTAATCTAGAGAGCAACTTAATGGTGTGTAATTGTTTTTAACCGGTTATATGTTTGGTTTTTGTAATGTATGTTGTAACTATGTTGATTATTTGTATATGCAAACTATAGCTGCCTATCTTGGCCAGGACACTCCTGGAAAAGAGATTTTAATCTCAGTGAGTCTTTTCCTGTTTGAAAAAAAGGTAATGATGACATTCGTGGTTCATAGATGTGTTTTTGTTGTGCATTTTACCCCAGATTCCCAGATTACCTTTAAAGGGGTCATGATGCAATTTCAAGTTTTCCTTTCTCTTTGGAGTGTTACAAGCTGTTCGTGAATAGATAAGATCCCTGAAGTTGCAAAGACTAAAGTCTCAAACC